CTATAGAAATTTGATAGTTAAATCAGTTTGGTGATGTTAAAAATTATAACAAATTAACAAAACCTAAAAAAGTTTGCTTAGAATTTAAAGCCCAACAATGTAAGCAGTTATAAATATTTTACACTAAAGTATATAAGTATATTTCTACTTTTGTATCCCTAACAATTCTTAGGGACTATACTCGAGTAATAATGTACTTCAGCTATACCTTAAGTATTATACCGACCACACTGATAAATAAACTTCCAAATAAGATCTTAATTAGTTTAAATTACAAAATCTTCCTAACCTAACCTAACAACCCTTAGGTTAGGTTAGGTTAAGTTATATTATTAGGTGTGTTTGGTATAATACGCAAGTACTTTAAGGTCTTCCATCGTATCTCCAAAGCCCAAAGAGTAAACTTGGTCTATTTCGTTATATAGTCTGTTTGATGGAACCTGTCTCCTTTCATCACTTGGGACTAGCCAATAATTTAAGTTAGTTGGATGGACAAGAGACAGGCTCCATCATACAGACTATAATACATAATCACAAAGCTACTACTGTACTTCTAAAAAAATCGTTACTTTTAACTCATTTGCAAACAAAAAAACTATTCTTCGATTAAATTCATGCAAAAAATATAAATTTTTGTCTAAATTCCTACATTTTCGTCTCCAGCGACTTCCCCTTTGCCCAGCATCCTAACTTCAACAGCAATCAGCAATTTCAATATTGGCCCAGTAAAGTGCTTTTCCGTCGCTCCGTTCAACCGAGTAACTTTCTTCGCCTAAGTTAAAAAGGGTTGATCAAGCCGGGTAAAGAAACTGGAAAATTATAAAGTTTTATTGTCTTTCATCCGGAGATTCGCTGAGTTTAACCGACTATTCGAGCGGAAAAGCTTTTTCAATTAAGCGACGGTTCTTTCATCAAAGATTAAGTGGAATAAACTTTTCTTTATCAAGTTTTCTTGTTAACATTAAGTTTAAAACTAAAATTGTAGGATGTGGATTTGGTAACTGGCGTGTTTTTGCATGGATATGTCAAGTACACAAAACTGTGTGAGTTTTGATTTAATAAAATCTTGGTTGGCTTTCGCAACTAAAAAAAATCATCGTGTTGTTAAACCTATTTATAAGGTATATTATTTAATTAATTTTCTTTTGTTAATTTCTACGCCAGTGGTATATATATATAGAATGGTGAAAACCCTGACATTGTTGTCAACCTTAGTTACAACACAATAATTTTCTAATTGAAACATGTAACAACTTTTAATTTTAAACATCTTACTTCCTACAACTTGTCTTACATAAACGTATTTCAAATTTTAACATTTGTGAAGTAGTAAACATACAATCTTTCAATTAACTCGAAATTTTACAGTGTCGTGAAGACTCCATCAATTATACTTAGTAAAAAAGGGTTCGTCTTTTAAATGAAACTCTACATGGTAATACAATATTCATAAAATTTCTGAAAATCAGTATTTACTTTACTACTGTCAGTTTTGGCTTACTATAGATTCTTTTTTAAACCAGACAAACTAAAGCAAAATCAGGAATTGAAAAGTTCCTTTTCAATGTAGAAACTTTCTTTTTCGATTGTTTTTTAAAAAGGATCATTTTATTTTTAAAGATAAGTTCGTAGCACCATTGACTTTGAAGACTGCAAGTGTACTTTTAATCATTTTGTAAAATCTAACGCCAGTTGTAGTTTGTGTTTTGAATAAAACACAAATTATGCGTTTGAGATTGCTGATATGTAAGCTAAAGCTACTAAATTTATATGTTTCTTATTTTTTGTAAACACTTGCTCTTTCGGTTATCATTACAAAAGAAACATGATAACTCAACAACACATCGAGTTATTTGAAATAAGTGTACATTTTGATGAAGTTAGAGGAAAATAATCGTAAATCTAATTTTGATCGTTTGGTTACAGTGGTACCAGCGAACAAACCATAAAAAATAGTCTGTAAAAAAAACTTAAAAGTGATGACAAACAACAAAGTAAAGAACTCTACATAAACTAGTAAAAAAAATTGTTTTTAGCTATTCCACAAGTGAGATTGTTTAATTTCAAAGAATGGTTAAGACTAAATACGAAACAACGGTAGCACTTTGGGATTTAAATACATTGTCAGACATCTGAAATTCTCCTGCACGATAAGTCTTAAGTTGTTTTCAGTATTCCTGAAGAAATGCAGAGACAATTTGAACTTTTTAATTGGTAAACGGATTTTGCTCAAGTTCATTAAGCTTATCGGAATCTTCTTAAGGAAAAAAATACAACTTTTCAAAGTACAGTATATTGATCGGCCAATTTAATTAATCTAGCTTACAAACGAAACTTTACTTTTAATATAGCCCAGATATGTTTATTTGCCCTTATTTACTTCAAACGTACGCCATCACAAGTAGATAGGCCTATTTGTGGATCTTATTGTTCCTAAAACCACTCTAGAAATATATTGAATTTTAATAGTGCAAGTAGACTTAGTATAAAAGTCGGGTTTCATGTATGTTTCATGTTGGTTACCTTTCGGACAACCGATTTCGAATAAATGTTACATACCTATTTATAATTGATTTTACATTTTGTTCATTATTTGGTTAAAATGCCAAAGGGCAAGAAATATTTTATAACTAAGCTATTTTTTCGGCTGATAAATACAGCTGTGCGATTGTCATACGAGTCTTTGTAAATTTTCATGGATTTTATCGCTGGATATCGCATAAACTTAACCCTGGCCGTTTATGTACACTAGTAACCAAAGGTTTAAAAATGGCCTATATGTCCCTTCAGTTGAGTGTTTGAACTCAGTCAGAATTTAAACAGAGATGGACCCATTGATGAGAAATCAATTTTAAATAGCTTAGGCTACTTATAGTGATGATTGTAACCTGATTGAGGCATGCGAATAACTCTTTCTGCTATATTATAAATCTGCATTCAACAATTTAATTTATTGTAAATCGCCAATTTTTATTTCCCAATAACTGTCTTAAACAAATATAATCTTTGAACGGTGAATGGTTATTGTGGTACTGTATTCGTTTTTCTGACTAAATTGTTGAATGTCGAGTCTTTCGTCACTTCTGGGCAAGCTCGCTCTGTCTGGAGAACATAGAAGACCGCTGTGGGTCCAAGCCTTGGTATCTCATCTCTATAGACGCCAACCCTGGAAATAAGCTTTAAACTCAGATGCACAATTCGCACATTGGTTCCCTCGTGAATCTATATCAGATATGTTTAAGATATAGTATTAAGACTGGAACGGGTGGCGTCGTCCTGTAACCCAGCTACTAGGAGGTCACGAATTGTGGATATTTATAGGCATGTAGTGTGGATGCGATACTCCCTGGTGTGGATTAACGTCCGCACTAGTACTATCCTGAAAATTTTACCAATTCGTATATACCAAGGCAAAAAGTGGTTCGGATTCCACTAAAATTCCCGTCCCTTAGTTGCCATTAGCTGTATGGGCTATTAATTAACAGATGTGTCTAAGGAATGAGTCGGCCTTAGTCACTAACAAGACTACAAGATCCACTGAGTACTCTACACTCATCTCCATTCATACTTGGCTTAAGAATACCTACTTTGTATGATCGCCATTTCATTGAAAAGTATTAAAGTATGTATTATTCATTCCAGTGGATAACCTCCACCTCATCTCTACTATTAGCCACGTGGCCATTCACCCCCTAGTCACGCTACCGGTTACATGTGTCGTATGATCTCCCCCCTCCCCCCGTGACGTCACAATTAATTGCCCCCTGCTCCATGCTCCATGATCGTAGGGGATGCTGATACTGCAGCCGCTCTTTCCCACCCTTGGATCTTCATCTTCTCCGGATATAACGAGCCACTTCCGCCACCGTTCTGTTTGGCTTTGGCTGATTTTGTAGTCGAATAGGCTTGTGGTTTTTCCGTGTAGCTGTAATTTGACGAATTTGGTGTGTTTTAAAACTATAGACAATTATTACTACGGTATTATTGCTTGTACGTTTACTATTTATAAAAATTTCAGTTTTATAGAGTTGAGAATAATTTCAAAACATGTCTACGTCCGTTATAGGTATGACTAGCGTGGCGTGGTGTATGTACGAGTATTTCTTTGTTTATTTTTTATTGCTTGTTATTCAACCAACTTTAAAACTGTACTTTGGTAAAATAAAGCTATCTAAGTTTCTCAATTGCTTTTCCTCTAGTATTACCTCAATTTAAACAGTGCTAATGTTGTTACAATGTTGGCGTAATGTTGTAACACATTTGTAATATTGAAGTAGACATATGGAACAGGTGTTGCCAATGTTTTATTAAAAAAAGACTTCGTTGAGTGAGCCAGTCACAGAATTCGCTAGTGACAAATTTTTGTTTCTGGCAGCGTTTATGGGTCATAACAGTTGCTATAGCTCTCAATAAGTTATTACATCAGTTTTTCTTGGTTAAAAAACATATATTCAACAGAAATTGGTAATTTAGATCAGCACACTGTCGGTGGCCACATTAACTACGAAAATTTTGATTAAAAACCTGGCGACAACAAAGGTAACTGTTTCCCAAGGGAAGCCTGATAGAGATAGAAGTCACATTAAACCTCAAGGTTCTCAGTTCTACCAATACTAAACCTCATTCTTATTTCAGCTGTTCAACATGAGAGGGGTCATGTAACTTCAAGTTTCCCAAGGGAAGCCTTATAGAGATAGAAGTCACATTAAACCTCAAGGTTCTCAGTTCTACCAATACTAAACCTCATTCTTATTTCAGCTGTTCAACATGAGAGGGGTCATGTAACCTCAAGTTTCCCTAGGTAGCCTTATAGAGATAGAAGTCACATTAAACCTCAAGGTTCTCAGTTCTACCAATACTAATCCTCATTCCTATTTCAGCTGTTCAACACGAGAGGCGGTCCAGTAACCTCAAGTTTCCCTAGGACAGCCTGATAGAGATAGAAGTCACAATGGCCAAGTTCTCAGTTCTACCAATACTAATACTCATTCTTATTTCAGCCGTTCAACACGAGAGGGGCCCCCGCAAACCCAAGTTGCCCAAGGAGGGCCTCGTAGGAGAGCAGAGTGTGACGTCAGGGCCCCTTAAACTACCACATCCTCCCATGTTTCCTCCCCCGCCATCCCTCAAGTCTCCTGACGTCGCCACGCCACCTCATCACATGTTCCTGCCTCACCAACCTCCGCCACCGGGCCTACTGCAGATCCTCATGTCAGCTGAGAAATGCCAGGTAAGAAGAGTCGAAAACTATGAGGTTATAGCGGATTGAACATTCGTTTGGGGCCTTTATTTGTTAATTTTCTCAAAGTGTAGATTGTTGCGTTTTTTTATTTTGTTGAAATTGTAATTTTTAATGGGGATTTCCCAATAAATCCCATAAAAAACCGGAAAAATCTGATTTTCTCGAAAACGGCCCGAACGATTTTGATAAAAATTTAGTATGTTGTAGCCCTTTAAATTCTGAACAAAATGGTACAAATCCCATTTCTGTAAAAATTACGGTTCAAAAGTTATGGTAAATTATGTTTTTTTCCTATAAAAACCCCATAAAATAAAAAATAGGATTTTAGAACAAAATAGGATTTTAGAAAAAAATACGGTTTTAATTTAACATGGTACGAGCTGTTGGCCCGTCCTACGTACGGGAATTGAAAAGTTTTTTCGTTTTTAAAAATTTAGATTTTTAATGGGAATTTTCCCATAAAACCCCATAAAATAACGGAAAAATAGGATTTTCCCAAAAACGGCCGGAACGATTTTGATAAACATTTTGTATTTTATAGTCCTTTATATTCTGAACAAAATGGTACAAATTCCATTTCTGTAGAAATTACAGTTCAAATGTTATTGTAAATAATGTTATTTTCCAATAAAAACCCCATAAAATATCGGAAAAATCGGATTTAGACAAAAATGGCCTGAACGATTTTGATAAAAATGTAGTATGTAGTCCTTTAAATTCTGAACAAAATTGTACAAATCCCATTTCCGTATATTTATTCTCACCGCTTACACATGATAAAGGTTGTTGACAAACTTATGGAAGAAAGTATGTGTCAGAATGCTGATACCGTTTATTTCCTTTTGTATTCATTCTACTAATTTGAAAAACCTTATGAAATAATTTCTTTTTTAGACCTGCATAGCTAAACAAAAGATTTTTCCTACAGTTACCTAACAATGTACATGTTCTCTCACTGATTTGAGAAAGCAAAGTGGCCAATTCGCTCATCAGTGAGATAATGTTAACATTGTCTCACTCTAATTACTTTGTCTCACTCCAGATTTGCAGCGTGAAGGCACGAAATAGTGAGCGCGTAAATGCAGGCAACGTCGTATGCGCGCGAAATACGTTGGCAGCACTGGCTGTAAATCAGCTGGTCAGTTGTTGTACTGTTGTATTTGTCCCTTCACATTAAATGTTATATTAAAAGTTCACTTCTGTGTAAAAATAGGTTATGTTTCTTCACAAATTTATTTGTTTTATGGTAACTGTAGGAAAAGTATAATGTGCAACTCGAGTTCAAAGTACAATTGCCTCACTCGAGAAACCATTCCTCACTCGCCTACGGCTCGTGAGTAAGGATTTCTCTCGAGTGAGTCAATTGCTCACTTTTCTCACTAGTTGCACAAATAACTATATAAGGATGGTTTGAGGATAATCTTCAACATTGTAATCCAAAAGTCGTACGTAAAGGTTTTACATATTTCGAGGACAAACCCTTACAGTAGTTTCCTCAGTTATTGAGAGAACATGGGTCCATTCAGTAGTCGAGACTGATGAAACGTTGGACAACTTAGAACTGAACTAATCTTTCCTTTGTCTGACTGACTCTGCGGTCTAAGGACCTAATCTTATTAGTTTCGAGGCTGAAAGGAGAGCCAGCGATGTTACAGAAACTGAAGGGTATACAACGGCAGTAAGTAAGCTTATTAAGACGATAGCGCTGGTCAGGCTTAAGTCAAGGGCCTGTGGGAGTTCACACGTGGGCTTCATGATTAGACAATGTGCCTGCCCGCGTGGGATCTGTCAGCTGATTGGTCCAGCTGCAACAATCGATCAGCTGTAACTCTTCTCTCGACACGTCATCACCGCTCGCGGGGGAGGGAGATTGCTCTGTAATTGAGGTGGAAACATTAATGCCCCGTGAAATTCGGGGGGTTTGTAGTAAATGGAAAGGTTCTCCAAAGAGTTTTAAGATTAGTGGAAAAAATGATTATAGTTTCGAAAAACAATTGTTTTAGTTAATCAGAAATTATATGGTACACGCAAATTTGACTGCTATACTCTAGTGAAATGCATAATAGTTTTTAGGCTACGTTTAAAAGAACTATAAACTTAAAAAATTCAATATTTTTTCAATTTCCCTTCAAGTTCGCCTCAACACAGAATTAACGGGTGACCATTAACTCATATTAACACGACATCCTTGCATACAAAATATGAAATTAGCAGCAAATAATTTTGGAAAGAAGGTTTGATAAAGAACTATAATTTTAGGAGGTGCTATGGAGCAGCAAACAAGAACACGATAGGTTATCCACGATGGGTATCACATCTCCAGTAGGACCACCACCTCTCGCACTCTCTCCCTCCTGGGAGGTGTTGCAGGTCAGTGTAGCAGCTGTTGCATGGTTGTGTCGTGTTGTGTTGTTGTCTACGATGGGTACCACATCCTCAGTAGGACCACCACCTCTCTCACTCTCTCCCTCCTGGGAGGTGTTGCAGGTCAGTGTAGCAGCTGTTGCATGGTTGTGTTGTGTTGTGTTGTTGTCTACGATGGGTATCACATCCTCAGAAGGACCACCACCTCTCGCACTCTCTCCCTCCTGGGAGGTGTTGCAGGTCAGTGTAGCAGCTGTTGCATGGTTGTGTTGTGTTGTGTTGTTGTCTACGATGGGTATCACATCCCCAGTAGGACCACCACCTCTCGCACTTTCTCCCTCCTGGGAGGTGTTGCAGGTCAGTGTAGCAGCTGTTGCATGGTTGTGTTGTGTTGTGTTGTTGTCTACGATGGGTATCACTTCCCCAGTAGGACCACCACCTCTCGCACTCTCTCCCTGCTGGGAGGTGTTGCAGGTCAGTGTATCAGCTGTTGCATGGTTGTGTTGTGTTGTGTTGTTGTCTACGATGGGTATCACTTCCCCAGTAGGACCACCGCCTCTCGCACTCTCTCCCTCCTGGGAGGTGTTGCAGGTCAGTGTAGCAGCTGTTGCATGGTTGTGTTGTGTTGTTGTCTACGATGGGCATCATTTCCTCAGTGGGACCACCGCCTCTCGCACTCTCTCCCTCCTGGGAGGTGTTGCAGGTCAGTGTAGCAGCTGTTGCATGGTTGTGTTGTGTTGTTGTCTACGATGGGCATCATTTCCTCAGTGGGACCACCACCTCTCGCACTCTCTCCCTCCTGGGAGGTGTTGCAGGTCAGTGTAGCAGCTGTTGCATGGTTGTGTTGTGTTGTTGTCTACGATGGGCATCATTTCCTCAGTGGGACCACCGCCTCTCGCACTCTCTCCCTCCTGGGAGGTGTTGCAGGTCAGTGTAGCAGCTGTTGCATGGTTGTGTTGCGTTGTGTTGTGTTGTTGTCTACGATGGACATCACCATTGACTATATTTACCTACATATATATATATGAATTTGAAGATGGTGTTTTTGGTCTCTAGGGACCATAAGAAAAAATCGGTCCCGCGTCCAGGTCTTACTATGAGTATTACGGTAATAGCGTATTCCCTATATGAGAAATTCGCTAAAACCTAAAAAGAAACTATTTTTACGTATAAATGGAAAACAAGTGAGTTTAGGACATACGCTTATGGGACATATCTTATAGTCTTGATCCAAGGAGCTATTTCCCGAAGTTTGTCAGGGTTCCCGTGAACCACCCTGTATATCCCTAGAACGCTAACCACTAACCCGAAACCGTTTTCCCGGTTACCTCCCGCTATCTCCGCGTCCCGCCGGGAAACGGACAGAGGAGCGCAAGTCGTAAAACTGTCAACCCCTCGGCCGAAGAATTCGTCGGGGTAGGACCAAGGAGCGCAGAGGTGCTTGCGCTCCTTGGTCCTACCCGTGCAAGGAACTAATCCCCTACTTGCGAGGGTTGAACAAGACAATGCTTGAGTCGACCCTGTGAGTAAATCCCATTAGTCGCGCCTCACTGACTACACCATTGATTCAGGCATATTTTTCTAGTGCAACTTATTACCAAACTAATGTATCAACAAATTACCAGGCTGTACACTTTCACTTTCGAATTTAAATTGCAATATAAAAGCTGATCCTTCAGTTGAATGTTAAACCACATTTAGATTTTTTTTATTTTATAAAAATGGATTTTAAATAGGCTACTTTTTAATAATTGCGACTTGATCTTGTAGGTGACTTTAGTCTTCATGGTGTAGATCTAAAATCAATGAATGGAAATTATTGTAAATTAGTAAGTTTATTCACTTTTAATAACTGCTTTAAACAAACATAATCTTTGAAAATAAAGGGGTATTGCACCGTTAGTTTTACCTTAGAGAAGGTGTTGAACCCTATTAAAATGTGCAAATTTGCAATGGGACCCCTCGCTATGAAATATACTAATTTTTATGCAGGAATGGTTTGTAAAATCCTTAGCTAATTTAAATCCACGAATACAATTAAATGCTTTCAACGTGTACCCACCATTGATTAAAAAACCTGAATTTTACATCTTAGTTTTATAGGTAAATTCAACAGACAGAAACCATCTCTTCTTTATGATATGTAAAATGCGCATATCCATTGAAGTACTTTATTTTTCCATCGATTGATAAAAAGAAAAGGTAATACAAAACATACGTACCAATACAGTATATAGTTGATATACTTTGCAGTTTCTCAGACTCGAGAGCAAGGATCGGAGTCAGAATTTTACTATGTATATTGTATTTGTGTCAAAATGATGACTTTTTATGTAGACAAATTTTGTACTATTTCGAATCCCATATATTTTTTCCAAAAATACAATACGGGCCATTCTCAATTCATTTCACATTTCTTAGGAGGTAAGCTTTACTTTTTAATGTCAACAGTGATAACATAACAAAAACAAGATTTTACAAAGGAACAATTTTTTAAAGTTACTTAGCCAACACTTTATATGGTGACATGAATCAAATTCCATATAATTTTGAAGTTATTGCAATTCCAAATCATCTTCCTAATTTAAACTCAATTTGTATTACTTTCTTTTAGTTTTCGAATTATCATCTGTATTTGGCGTTTATGTTGTCACCATGTAAAACGTTTGTTAAATGACACAAATGATGTATAATATAACATTGTCATCACAATGTCTAAATAGCAACATGTCACAACGTCGAACAACATAATTCATTGTTACTGATGTTTGTATAGGCCTAAAAAATGTTTAAACTGTAGGCCTACGGTTTGATGTTTTTCAAAAATAACTTTGTTCTCGCTGGATAAATAAGTTTGATTATTTTGCCCTGAAATAATCAGTTAGCCTTATTTAGATGAAACAGTTATTGTTAATTTAAAGAAAAATCACAGCATATTACATTGTGGGTGCTGACTAATGGTGCACTCTGATTAGGATTTCTCGGCCCCAATGAAGTATTTTTACCCACGAATTTGTGACATTAGTTAGAAAATGTACCAATTGCACCGTTAACATTAACCGAGAATAGAACTTTCTTTAGGAATCTGCACCGGTAACGAATTTGTAAAATTGGTCACCTTATTAGATGTACAGCAAGAAAGTAAAAAAAAACCCACGTCACTGATTGTAAGTTACTCATTACTTATTATCTCTTATTTGATTCTAAACTCAAAAGTTTATTTTTTTATAATAGATAATTTACTTTGTAACTGGTAACACTACTTGCGTCATGCCTTCAAAGCTATTTCAAAATTGTATAAACTATACCTGCAAAACAAAATAATGTAAACATTTGATAGTTCTGAAACGCAGAGAGAAAGTTTAGCTGTCTCGAATAATCTAATATGATTTTAATTATAATAGAATAATGCAAATTTAGTTCCGTACTATTTAGTGATAAATATTTAATTTTTATTAAACTGCACTTAGAAAAATATGCAGTTTGTCTGCATTGAAAATGGACTGATTACCGGTACCGTAGAACAAAAACCAACTGTTTTTCAGATAACTACTTCGAATGCATAATACAGTATCTTGCATTGTCTCTGTTAACATATTTATATATTCAAAATTACTCCTTACATTTTCATTTTAAAGTAGTGTATTCAATGAGGCACGACTAATGGGATTTACTTGCAGGGTTGACGCAGCCATTGTCTCTTTTAATCCGTATAATTAGGGGATTAGTTCCTTGCATGGGTAGGACCGAGGCGCGCAAGGTGCCTCTGCGCTCCTTGGTCCTACCCCTACGGATTTTATTTATGACCTCCCATTAGAGCAGGTATTGTGCGCTCCTTGGTCCGCGAATCCGTCCCGCCACCTCCGTGTACCGCTACCTCCGAATTTCAGAGTGACCCCTATAATCCTCGGTTACTTCCTGCGTTAATCCGTCCAAACCTAACCTAACCTAACTTAACATAACCTAACCTGGCCTAACCTAAACCTAATCCACGGGTTAAATTTTCATTAATCTTCCATCCACGGGGCTTCGCAGCCGTGGATGCAATGACAGCTAACAACGCAGGCAGTGACAGGATTATAAGGGTCACTCAAGAATTGGAAGGTGGCGGGACAGATTTGGGTTCGGAGGTGGCGGAACGCGGAGATAGTGGGAGCACACGTTTTTCCCAATAATTCAGGCTAAGCCTGGGGTTGCTGCATCATCACTTGGATAAATCCATTGGTAATAGGCGGGATTTGAATTCGGGTGCCGAAGTTCTGCCACTAAACCAAGCTCGCTCAATGTGCATTAAAAATTCCGTATCTTGCACTAGTCACAGACACAGACAAAAGCAGAAAACGTGTTTTGTATAAGTAAAATATAAACTCTAACGAAGTTTGAAAAGATGCATAGAATGATAATTTAATAAATTTGAGTGTTGTTTTTTTTGTTTTTTCCCAACGGATTGCACCATTTTACAAAATATGTGTTTTATATATCTTCTGTCTGTGTCTGTGGTATACTCCTTGCTCCGTGCTATAATAGTGGACAGTGGTATTACATATAGTATTATAATTATTCTATGCTGGTTGGAGTTGCGACCAACGCTTGTAAAAGTTTGACGTTGGCGACTTCGAGGCGCATGTTCGAGGGGAGTGACTTGTTGACTTCCTGTCCTCGTCCCCCATTGGCTGCCCTCGCAGCCAATGGCAGGTCTCCATTTTGTTACACGGCTAAATGTAATGGAGTCTTTATTTCCAAACGCTGTGCATTGCCATAGAGTGCAACTTAAGCTGTTCAAATTATTCTTGTCCATGCACAAAGTTAGACCAGACCACTTATTGTATGCTGTCTGCTAGATCCAGTTTACAAAAATACAAAATTTGATTTATTTTTTAACTGTCTGCCAGATTTATGTAGAAATTGGCTGAAGCTGGAAATAAATAATAAACATTTTTCTTCGATTAAAAGAAATTATGAGAATATTTTTCGAATGAATAAATCAATTAGTATCTAAAGTTTTATAGCTAGAAATATACAAGGATAATTAATTGTGAAGAATCCCACTACTTTTTCATTACACTTTACACCCCTACTTCAAATACCCTGCAGACTAATTAAGCAAATTTCCATTTACCATTTACCTGGTTGAATTTTTACTCAAATATTCCCTTAAAATAGTCAGATTTATTATCTACTAGCAGAGTACCCGTCCTTCGTACGGGGTTGGCATACAAGTATAAAATGCTTATTGCAGTTATACTCGATCTTTGCGTTTGCAATGTGAGAAAACACTGTTTGAGAATATTTGCTTCCTCAAATTTACGGTATGCGATAGTATTTCACATCTTCCATAGCCATATCCCAGACAGCACACTTTATCCCAGGGACATCCCATAGTAGTCCCATATGTCCTGAGAATGTCTCGGGATATGTGCGCTATCCTCAGGATATCCCGCAAAATCCCGGGACGAGTACGAAATCCACAGGATATCCTACAATATACCGTAATGTCCCGGGATTTGTAAGTTAACCTCAGGATATCCTGTAAAGTCCCGGGATATGTACGAATGCCATAGGATATCCCAGAATGTCCCATGACATCCCGGGACATGTACAAAATCCACTGGATATCCTGTAATGTCCCGTAATGTCCCGGTAACAAACTGAAGAAAAAAAATACTACCACTGATGAAATGTACAGTACATCTAAATTTAAATGTTCAACAAGGCCAATATATAATAATTTATTTTTTTTCACTAGTGCTTTCAGAAACTTGGTTTCCATCTTCAGGCTGTGTTTACACTAGTACAAAAAGTAAACATTTACTTAATAAATTAATTTTAAACAAAGTTAAAACAGATGATTTAAAGGATATTCGAAAAATAAAAAATAATATTAGAAAAATTAATCTTTTGAATTTTGGATATGTTACAGTGTTGTTCTTGATGTAATTATTTTCAGTAATTCTGAATTTATAATTGGACCGTCTTCATTATTTAACAAATAATTTTGGTCTGTTTTTTTTTTCTAAAAATAAGATTCCCACGCATTAAGATGTTGAGGTTTTATAATTTATTTTAAAAGTTTAAGGTTTCCCAGATTGAAAATATGTCTTGTTAATACTATGGCTAGCAAGGGTGGACTTTACTTTACTTTACTGACATATTACTACCACTGAGTTCAGGAAAACTAAAGTTCTATCATAGTTGTGTGAAACGTGAATTTAATTCTAACTTTAAATTATTAAACAACAAAAAACTAATTTTAATCATATAACAATCAATTATTACAGTGCTAATCTAATGGTGATTAAATAATCTATATTCAAATACCAGTATCCTCTTCCAACTACCAGAAAAAACAATTCAACTACTTGAGGCCTAAACAGATTAACAGAATCATATATAGCCTATACTGTAGTATCAAAAATATTTTAAGTATTGCGACCATTGCAACATTGCAACTGTCGGCTACTCTTTAACCACTTGAAAACACCCATAATCAACAAGCGCAGATAGCTCAGGAGGTAAGGTAAGAGGCTCACAAGGCGAAGGTACCAGGTTCGAAACCCGTCTGGGCCAAAAACTTTTTTCTCGTTTTTTTCTTCAAAATTTGTGGTTTTTAACTATTTAATCAATTTACTAAACTTATAATTAAGCTTTTCATACTAAATCTATTTTATTTTGTGTTTTTTATGTTCAGGCCCAGACCACACTTTATCTTAGGGACATCCCATAGTAGTCCCATGTCCTGAGAATGTCCTGAGGACTACCCTGGGATGACCTCGGATGTCCCACGGATATGCGTGTGAGCTTATCCGTAGGACATCCCCGGGCGGGGACATTACGCATTCCTGTGGATATCCTGTGATATCCCAAGTTGACCATAGGACCACTATGGGATATCTTGCATATCCTGTCGCAATATCCGTGGGATGTCCTGAGGAGAAAGTGTGCTGTCTGGGATTGTTCTAGCACTTCACCTACACAATAGAGAAGATAGATTATTAAAAATTTGCAAAATATCCCAAATTATTCATGAAATTAAAAACATAAACATAACTGTAAACAATCCTACTTTGACAGTTCCCATTGCGTATAATAGTTTTGTTTCTGCTTATTTCAAATAAGCTGTATTCATAAATAATGAAACAAATAATAGTGATGCACCCTGTAGGTAAATCTTATAACTTTGTAATGCTTTTAGAACCAACTCTTTTAGTTGAAACAGCTCCTGGCTAAATTCTTTAATTCCCTTTAAATATGAATACTCATAAGGTTAACATGGGGAACTGCAGAGCCACTGGGGCGGAGCCCTAAAGGATTTTTGAAATAAGAATATTTGTTAATCGGGAATGTGAGCTATCATCATGCCAAAATTCAGCCCAATCCAACCAGTATTTTTTGCGTTTACTTGTCACAAACATACATCCATACATCCAAACTTTCTCATTTATAATATTAGTAGGATTTAAATAACATTGATTTTACAGAAAGGTAGTAATTTATTTTTAACGGATAATAGCTAGGTTTTAAATTAACAAATTTGTCAAATTCAATCAAAATATTTCCCTAAACAAGACAACTTTTAACAGTTTATTTATTACCCTAAAGATTTTTTTAATTTTCTACATAACTTTAGGCGTACAACAACACTTCGGTTTCTAAATTATTTTTTCTAAGCTCTACAAGATACTATGGAAATAAATTGCAAAATTGTATGTATTGGAAGTCAAAAAATGGGAAGCCCTAATTTAGGGTGTTTAATTTATAAATTAGGGTTTCGCATTTTATGGTTTATCCCCATGGATTTATGGAGATAAAACCCGGTCTCGTAGTCTGACAATGCTGGATCACGAACTTGTTAGAATAAATGAAGGTTTACAGATTTGTACCAAATTTCATCAAAATCTGATTATTTTTACTCGAGTCCTCGTACATTGAGTAAATCAGTCCCAGTTCTAGGTTTTACCACGAGGTTTGACTAGTCTATTCCCTAAATTAACGGAAATTTCCCTAAAATAATTATCTCTATGTACCCAGTCTACAAACTTCCTGATATCAGGTAGGTAGCTTGATCGCATTATACGTTGTATTAATAGTCAAAGATTATACACAGCACATTACATATACACTTCTTCAGAGTGCTCAATCATAGCTAGACAACAGTTTAATTTGTATGAAACATAAATTTCCCCCAAAACTCAAACTGAAATTAGTTACTGGAAGTTTTCTTAAAACTCGGAATTTAGGATCTAGGATGTATGTATAATACAATCTACAATGCTAAAGCTTTTATTCTTTTGAAGCAATGAAGATACAACACTAAATAAATGTAACAAGGAATAACTCTGCATGTTTTTTCTACCAAGTTTAGGAGGACAGGCCCGCAGCTTGTATGTGATATGTCCCCCTTTTGTCGGAGAATTTTTCTCTTCCTTGTCCCCAACAAACCCAAACTCTCTTGCTCACCTGAGCCAATTAAATCGGCCCAGCATGCAGATAGTTCTTTCATAAGGTATATATTCACCCTTCAACCATTCCTCTCATCCTTACATACTGATGGTAACTTATTTTGTCCTGCAGGAAACCACAGCACGGTTACTCTTCATGGCTGTTCGGTGGGTCAGATGTCTTGCGCCCTTCCAGACGCTCTCCAAGAGAGATCAGGTAATGAGTCAAAATCTTGCAAAAGGTCTCTTTCCTGAATATGATACAACAAAATAACAACTGCAGCAGAGCACAAATTTGTATTGGAGTCCTCCACAGTGTTCTAGTCGGAAAGTTTCCAGTGCAAGAATTCTCACTGTTGTCGTAGAAAAAATAAGTACCCTAAGTAGAAACATCAGGGTACTTACCTCTTGGCCATTACAATATACAGGGGTGCCCACAAGGGGGGGGGCTGTGACGCAGACTGCGTCATTGAAATTCTTGGGGGGGGGCTCAAAAAATTCAAATGGGGGGGGGGGTGGCTAAAGCTAATTGCAACAGTGTTCAACGTGACGACAATCCAAAATATATTACGAAGTCGCCAGATAGAAGGTGGATTAATTAATGACAATAGTTATATTATTGAATTCAATTAGTTAAAATAGGATTTTAGGATAGTTTAGGATTCGTGTAGGAAGTTATTATTTAAGATTAGCAAGACGTGAGATCTAAGAGGGAGGGCACGGAATGGCTCAACTGCTGTGATGGATAAAAGATAACGCGTGGTACAGACACGTCCAGCTACACCGCGACTTAGCACAGAACGATTTGTTGACATAAAGCTCGTTAAAATACAATCAAGTATCATAGGCTACAATACTTTACACTATTGTGTAGATGTACTAGATTACCTGAGTTAATAGTGAGAGAAGGGGGTAATGAAAAATACGGTTAATCCAATACATTATAAAAACAGATGACAAACTCATTAAAACGCTGTAAACCGCCATTAACGTCACGATTATCATTTTTATAAACAAAATTCAATATTGCACAATCATTATTATTGTGCAATAACATTATTATTGTAAATTTCAAATCATTTATCTTGGTTCAGTTGTACAAACGTTAACGTTTAAAATTATGGCTAACACAAACTCTACTAATCACCAGCCAAACATTGCATTGCTATAAATAACGTAAATATTAAAGGAACCTTTAGAAAGTGTTATAAGGTACTGCTCATGATAGACAGATAGGCTACCAATAGGTGCTGTATCACAGCATAGGAATTGATAGATAAGTAATAAAAAAGTGTAAAATTATATTTAGAGATAATTAAAACACTCTTAAAAAAGAATGTAACGAGAACAATCTTGTTATTCTTTTTCTTTGTTCTTTAATAGGTTTCTCTTCAATTCATACACAAATTCAACAAAACACCATATTTAGGCCTACTCATTGGCCAATCACAGCCTTACTTAAGTTACCAAACCATGGTTACTATTCACTCAAACACAGTTTACTAAGCATTATATCGTCATCATTCCCTAGCTGTTGTATCTAAAATCTGTTGTAACATAGCGCACAGCAGACAGAAGTGTAAAACGGAGCAGACGATTGTTGGCGCAAGCGTTGTTTCCATTTCATTTTCATCAAAGGAGCTGTGATGTTTCTAAAGGGAGGGAGAGGGGATCGTTATATCGAGAAAAGATGCTGACAATTCGTTAAGCAGAGGTTACGAACGCTATATGGATATTCTGGCAATAAAAAATTCCTTAAATTGAGGTGACTTATAAAACTCTAATTTTATTTATATAGAAAGATAAGTTTTCCAGTACTGTACAACACTGATTCACGGTCTTTTCCCTGTAATCAAAATTCAAGTACAACTTGATACACACAGAATCTCCGGTTCCCGACCTGGATGATGGCTAGTTATTTAATTTAATTTACAGTTACATAGTACCCGTGATAAATCAAACCCGTTATGTAAGCCAAAGCCACACACGATTAATCTCACTTGGTTTTGGATTTGCTTACAAACGTGATCGTAAATGGTTACAAACGTGATCGGAAATGGTTGGGGCCTACACAGTAGTCGTAAACAACATTTATGTAAACACTAGCTGTAACCCGCGGGCTTTGCCCCGTTTAACTTCTTAATTTTCAAGATGATCTCGTTCGCATGGTGGCTCAATCACGTCCTGGTTGAAGTTTGTTCGCTACGCTCACTCACCTTTAAGTTGGAGCTCGTTCGCTACGCTCACTCACCTTTAGGTTGGAGCTCGTTCGCTGCGCTCACTTGCCTTCAGGTTAGCTCGTTCGCTACTCTCACTTGCCTTCAGGTTAGCTCGTTCGCTACGCTAACTCGCCTCCAGGTTGAAGTTCGTTTGCTACGCTCACTCACCTTTTGGTTGCAAATTAGCTGTTGTCATAAATGTAAAAGAAATAATAGTGCTGCACCCTGTTGGTAATCCTTGTAACTTTAATGCTATTGAACATCATAGAACAGAACCAACTTGTTTAATTCAAACAGCTGTTAAGATTCAATAATTCCATTTCTCATAAGGTTAACATGGGAAACTCCATAGCCACTGGGGCGGAGCCCAAAAGGATTTTTGAAATAAGAATATGCCTATATGTTAATTGGGAATGTGAGCTATCATCATGCCAAATTTCAGCCCAATCCGACCAGTATTTTTCGCGTTCACTTGTCACAAACATACATCCATACATCCATACATCCAAACTTTCTCATTTATAATATTAGTAGGATATCAGTGACAGCTAGGAAAAGGAATCTTTATCAAAACAGCTGTTCGTAATTTCATATATGACGTGTTCTCTTAACAGATTATTAGCATTTCATAAATTAATGACGTATGTAGTAAACATGGAGAAAATAAACTAGAAAAATCACACAAAATTGTGTTTTTGATCGTCCGTTATTTTATTTCCAAAATAGTGAGGCCATATTTTAATGGCTATAAGGACTCTCTCGCCAATCCTGTGGATACAATTAAACCATTAGAATAATAATCGGTACTCTAGTTTTCTTTAGAGTAGGCTGCATAAAAATGCATTCTGGGCCGTGACAGACGGACATAAATTGAGATAAGACATGTTTCAACTTCTTCAATGTATAAAACATAAATAACCCAAAATATGTATGATTCTGAGCAATGTACAGACAAACCTATAACTTAATTCATATCAACTGGGTTTGAATTTTAAATATCTAATAAAACTTCTTTTATAGTTTTACAAATAGTGCTGGGCGGGGGAATAATGTTTCTCATTTTTTGTGTACATCATTTATGGTGGTGGGGGGGGGGGCTGTTGCTCAATTGGGGGGGGGGTGCGTCATGAGTCTAGGGGGGGATGGGCACCCCTGCAATATAGATGGATAATACACACTTTGAGATTGTTTGAATAGAAATAATTCAGTAATAAAATTCAGTCAAGGCACACAGATAATAGCACACACACAGCGGTGTGTTGATCCACAGTAAATTCTTGGGTAAAAAGTCTCATCATTTGATTTTCATAAGTCTAAACCCTGTTCTTTTCAAAAAATTCCTTCTTAAGCCAAATGACCTTTTCCAAAATCCAACCTAATAAGAACAAAACTCATCTTGACTCTGATCTCTAGCTTCTACTTCTCCAAGAGTCGTGGAAGGAGTTGTTCCTGCTTCACCTCGCCCAGTGGTCCATCCCGTGGGATCTCTCACCGTTGTTCAACAGCAGCAAGGCTCGAGAACGGCTTCCCCCGGATGATCCTGTTATCAACAACGAGATCAAGGCCATCCAAGACATCCTCGCTAGGTTCCGCCAACTGTCACCAGACGGCAGCGAGTGCGGCTGCATGAAGGCTGTCATTCTCTTCACTCCAGGTAGAAGACTTCAAGTGGTCCTTAATAATTAATTAAGTAATTTCTTTACTTTCCTCAATTTATTATGGATTTGGCCTGAAAAAAAATGTCAAGGGGAAATCAGAATGCTGTCATGTCAAAAGTCATTGATCAATTTTTGAGTTTGATATGAGGGTAGAATGGAGTGAACTCCCTTATAGCTTTGTTACTGGAGGTTACTCGGTTACTGGTTGGATTATATTCCGTTAATGTTAAAATCAAACTGTACGGGGTGTACCCATTCTAGGTGTGACGTCAACAATCGGCAGGGGGTACGAATCCAGGAGGGTACAAATCCGGCCACCTTACTGGTTAATTTTAGCTGGTTCAGAAGAATCGTTTTAAGCCGAATCAACAAGGTCAGCTGGGTCCAGTTCCAAAATTAAAAGCTAAACAGATTTCCCCATAGTCAAACCCTCCTCCCCCCAGTTCAAACCCAGAGTTAGCTCTTCAAACTTTTAGGTACCCTAGTCAATTGTGATTGAGCAAATTTCTGAAATAGTGTGCTCATTTGCAGAAAAGAAAAATTACTGCACTTAAATAGGTTTGATTATCAAACTCATAAACCATTTACAGTACCACCTTTTTAGCATAGTTTTTCAACCTGCATTAGCTCACATCAAACCTAGGGTTTGAGTAACTTAAACAAGAAATCTAATAATATGAGTGAAGATTAGAATGGATGTTAAACCTGAAAAGGTGTCATGACACAAAGATATATATATATGTATGTTATAGACCGTCCCAGATAATAAGAGCTTCTTTTTGGGCTCAAAAGTGCTTTTGCACTACCAAACAAGTTTGACAGCTATGTGGGCTGGAATATCAACCCCCACTTTTATCAGATGAGGGAGCAAATAAGGTCTAATCACAGTCAAGTAAGGTACAGAGGAAACATTCAATGGTACACTTAAGTCGTGTGTAGTGAGTGTAGCACCAGTGCTGGTGTCTAAGGCAAAGTCCAACACCACCCCCTCGCCCTCATGTACTTCAACCCTAAACTATATATATAGTCAATGCTCCACGCTCTCAGTGGAGGAAGATCCTGTGCGATAGGAATTCTCTCACAGTGCTCGCCGTTTGGGCTCTTTCTTGGTCATCACAAAGTATATTTCCAGCACAACATACCAGAACTGTCATCCCATTAGCGTGTGTCCTCCTACCTTACCTCACTGTGACTCAGCTTAGGCAAGAAAACTAACTCTGATGTTCTACTCTATATCCTCCACATCAATCATAACCATAAGATTCAACAATTGTAAATGTCTTTGGCTCTTTCAGAAACACCTGGTCTGGTGGACGTTCAGCCAGTAGAAATGCTGCAAGATCAAGCCCAATGTATCCTAGGAGACTATGTACGAGGGAGATATGCTCGCCAGCCAACTCGCTTCGGCCGGTTTCTCCTCATGTTGCCTAGTCTACGGGGAGTACGGCAGTCTACCGTAGAACGACTTTTCTTCAAAGAGACTATCGGAGATATTCCCATCCAGAGGCTACTGGGTGATATGTACCTCATGGAGAAATCTTATGCTTAGGGATTAAGCGACGTTTGAGCATTGAATAAGTCAGTTTATAGAACACTGAAGTGCAATACTTACTGTGTTGTAGATTTAATGTAGTAAATTGGTTAATCTAATGTTTGTTTACAATCACAAATGAGATTTTGAAACAATCTGTTTTATAAGCTGGTGGTATGGGGTCAATGTTTTAAATCTAAACATATATTATTAACCCTCCTATGGACGCATACAAGAATTTTCTTTTGTGTACGTTTTTTTTACCAACAAACAATACACTATCGTTTCCAGACCCGGATACCATTTGTCATTGGGCTATAAATTAATGATGCTACCTAACAAAAAGGTCAACGTTAGATGGTAACAGTGGCGTAAATAGAACATGGCTTTGGGGGGGGATGGATGAGCACCAAGCTTGCACTCATCGTGTGAACCGGGGGGTTGGGGGGGTATGGAATACCCCCCAGCAAAGCGGGGGGTACGGGGGTCCTCCCCCGGAAAATTTTGAAAAATTAAAACTCCAAACTCGCCTTTTTAAGCATTCCAGAGGTGTAATCATGTTCAAAATTACTCCAAAAATCAACCCAATTGAGGCTGTCTCTTCTGAGGTTCATATGAACTTACCAAAGACAGTTGAACAGAATTAACATGCTCATTTGCATGTACAGGAGAACAGAACAGTCATCTAATATCCTGGTTTTAAACATGTCCAATATTAAAAACTGGTCCTTTCTTTTGACCAACATATTGTTCAGCAAGATTAAAACAAATACACATAGGCTAATTAATTGATTAACAATTTTAAAATATACACTCTTGAATTCAAAACTTGAAATACACTTTGAAATTTTTCCCCATTTTTCGGCGAGTACAGTTTGCCATTTTAGCTGTCGGTAAAATGGCACCCGGCGACCTATACCATTGACTTAAGATACTCGCCATTCGACCGCAAAAATTAACTTTTTTATTATTGATTTTTTTTGCAAATGGTTAAAGTGTGATCTTAGCGACTTTATTGCCTTTTTTGTTTTATGTTGTAGCACTTATGAACATGAAAAATATAACTGATTAACTGATATGAATATAGATTATGCTGGATTGAAAAAATAACTTTCCAAAACAGAATTGCACAAAATTTATTGAAAATCTACAATGTTTGTTCAAAGCTATATAACAAAATCGATCTTCCTTGGTTTCTTAGCAAAGTCATCTATGACCTCGTCAACAGTGACATCAATTTCTCGATGGATTGACAGCATTGCAAGTCCATTCAGTCGTGTCTGTAACACATTAATTGAATGAGGGTAAATATTGAAAAATTTCCTTTTTGGATAAGGAAATGTATAACTGTTCTTTGGATTACCTGAGCAATAATAGGTTTTTTGTTTTTACGTTTTTAGTAATGAGCTGAATAAAAAAAATTGAATGAGGAGTTTCGATTGATGAGGGGAGCCCTGCTGTATGCATTTAAAATCCATAAAAGGCACATCTAGAGATCAAGAAATGTCAATTTATGACAAATAAATTACAATATATGCAAAATTATTTCAAATTAAATTGTATTATATTAAAAGTCATATATGCAAAATCATGGTTTTAGGTATTAACAATATATCATCTGTTATGAGCTTGAACATAGCTAAAAGTCTATGCATTAAGGTGTGAAGTCAATGAAAAGCTAATTAAGGGCTAACGCACACTAGCACCAGCTATTTGATACATAAAATGATTGCTCTATTTGATGCGCAATTGCATAAAAATAGAGCAACAAACACTAACCCCGATCAGCGAAACTGAATAAAGTGGACAGTTATACAAATGAAATGATTTTTAAATCAGTTGCGTGCAACGAGTTTTAGTAGTGGTCCAGTGTACGTCGCCCTAAGTAGTAAATTTTTAAATTACAGTTCCACTTACTTGTCCAGTAGAGTTCCTGAGGTATGATTTTATTCTCTTCAATGTTGAAAATGACCTCTCTGGAGTACATGTCGTTACAGGCAGTGTGCTCAGGATTTTCAAAAGCTGGTAGATGGAAGGATACAATGTTTTGTCACATGCATCAAGGCTGGTAAGAGCGGACTTCAAAGCTTTGTGATTTTTTGTTCTGTCAATGTCTTTCCTCCACATTTTCAGTTCCACATAAATGTCATCACTGTTGGATGAAACATCGTTTGCATAGAACTGAACTAAATTGTCTAGCTTAGTTTTTGTTTCAATGTTTTGTTGAAAATCAAACAAGCATTGAAAGCCCTCAAAAATAGCTTTGTGTTTCTTGAATCTTTCTTCAAGCTGGGTTATGAAAAACTCTACGAAAGGAAGGAATAGGTTTATCCTGTAATGACTTTCGACTTGAGCATCAATGCTAGTCACGTCAGTGAGGTCGTTAGATAAACTTGGAGCATTACTCCTATTCTTTTGTTTTGAACACAGTCTAGGAAGTTTTATGTCAATTCCCACATCCAATGCAACAGCCTTGAATTGATTAAACACGGCATGGAACTCTTCCTCAGCATTAGTACGCATGGAATGCAATTCTGATATTATATCCTCGGCCAGTACAACAGCCTCTTTCAAATCTAAAGTTTCCTTCTGCAGTTCTTTGCACAAGGGCATACCAAAAGCGAATATATGTGCAAGAACGTGTACAGCAACACAAAACTCTATATTTAATATAGCCCACTTCAAGCTGTTGGCTCCTGAGCCATCTTTCCAAGATGAAATAATATCTAGGGACTCAAGGACAAAATCAAGAATGTGCATGAAATCTCGAACTGCATCAAACTTTGCCACCCAACGTGTGGCACACAACCTTTTCAAGGTTTTTACTTTTGGGTCTACTTCTGATTTGTCAATCACATCGTTGAGGACAGCTTGCCTTTTGGGCGTATTGAAAAATATGTAACATTTTTCTATTGTACCGAGACAATTGCTTATTTCACGGACCTCACATGCTCTTGTTACGGCTAAATTCAATGAGTGGGCCGCGCAGTGTACATACAAAGCCAAAGGGTGTTTGTCTTGTACAAATTTGTTTACACCATTGTATTGACCAGACATTGCCGATGCCCCATCATAACCTTGTCCTCTTAAACCACTCATATTTAACCCATAACTTTCTAAACTATTTAGAATTTTCCCGGCCAATGCTTTGCCTGTAAGCTCAGTCGTTGGTACGAACTGCAGAAATTGCTCTTTAACAGTGTGGGTGTGGTTTTCGTTTTCTACAGCAACGTAGCGAACACACAAAGAAATTTGTTCTACGTTTGAAATGTCACTAGTTTCATCTGCCAGTACCGAGAAATAAGTTGCATTGTTGACTTCCTCAACCAGTTTACTCTGTATTATATGATTGCAAGAAGAAATAATTTCATTTTGTAACAGAGGTGACAGATATTTAATTTTTCCATTCCCATCCAACATGACTTTTAAATCTTTATCCCCTTGGCTTCTGTACCTCAAAAGAGCTCTGAAATTCCCTTCATTTTTCTCTGTACACATAGAACTCGTCCCAACCTTTCCAGAGTCCCTGTGACCTCTCAAGGCAAGCTCTTGCCGTCCACATAATATGACAGTTTCAATCACAGGTTTAAGGTTGCGTCTATTTTTAATTATCGCTTCATTGCGTGCAGTATCAACCTGATTAACGACCTCCAAAGACCTATTTTCCAGGGTTTTTTTCAAATTTTTGAAATCAGTAATGCAAGCATTGTGATAATCGGTTTCAGCGTGGTGCTTAAAAACTTCTTGGGCTTTTACCCAGTTTGTGAATTTATGTTTCACCAACGAACCAAGCTCTTGGCTGTTTACTCCTGCTCCATGTTTTGAAAATAAAAAACAAAATCTACAGAAAGCTCCCTCTTCTTTTTCTGAGTAAACTAACCACGGATATTTACTGAACCATGCATATTGAAATTTTAATTTTCGTTTCTGAAATTTTTCCAAGACAGGAAACTTGTAGGTGGAGGGGGTTGCCAAAATGCATTCATAAGCTTTACTTTTTCCTCATCATGTACCCTTTTATTCAAATAAAGCTCAATGTCATTCCGGTTAAATGCTTTGTGCTGAGTTTCAGTGTCTGAGGTACTTACTGAGGGTGATGAACTTATTGACGACAGTTGAGGTTGGACCGAATTAAGAGGTTCAGGAGGGGGACAGTCGTCCAATTTTCTGGTTTTGAATAGGTCTGTTATTAGACACTGGCCCTTTCTTTTGGCCGACATATTGTGGTTTAAACAAATACAGATAGGCTAATTGATTCACTTCACTTAAACATCTTAACACAGAGAACCAGAACTAATGCACAATCGCTAAAAACACTGTAATATCGACTACTAAATAACAGCTCAATAACACACTGATCAGTGGAACGGAGTGGACGGACTACGACTACGACTACGGAGTCATGGGTGTCAGGGTGGGGTGGGCTGAGTTATTTTTAGAAACACGTGCCCCTCCTCCTCCTCAACCCTCCCCCACCCGTCAACAGCGCACTGCGCGTCTACGCCATCGGTACGGCGCGGTGGTAGGGGGTGTTACGATCGGGAAGTGTTTATGTGTGAGTCCAACGGCATAGGCAATCCAGGACTAACTAGAACGCAAGCGCACAACTTGTAGCTTGCAGATATATTGCTACTTCCTTTCCTTTTGTTAATTTAAATTTAAAATTGTTAAGTTTTAGTTAATAATTTTCTCAGCATATACACGCTTAACGGTAATTATGTTGAAACAGCAGTACAGTATTCAAAAACATTTAAATTATATTTATTTTTAGTTTGTATTTTTTTATTTTTTATTAGTCTTTGGGGGGTGATTGATCACCCTGATCACCCCCCTTATTTACGCCACTGGATGGTAATAAGACCAACATTGGACCGTTCCCTTTCAAAATACCATTGGCGTAGAAAACAAACTGAATAAAAATATAAAATTTTGTGGAGTTTGTAGAAAAATTAGCAATTTTCTTGGTAAATCCTTTGTCCAATTTTAGTATCGAGGCACTGCAACCTACCACATTTTCTATTGTAGCTTTTGTTATTATGTTTATCAAGCCACTATTTCGTGAGTAAATTTTATCGAGGTGCATTTGTTATGAAATCAACCAATAATA